TAAAGAAATAAATTGTGAGTTTTAAAAAACAAGAGAATATATTCAACTTAAAAAAATTAAAAGTGGGAGCCGCGGTAGCTCAGATGGTTAGCGCTCGCTGTAAATTTCAAGCAACCGGGTGCCGCGAAGTAAAGTTCACCTACAATTTTGCGTGTTGGCGAACTTTACATGTCTTCAAAATATTTTTACGTAAATAAAATATTTTACGTAACGATAATGCGCGCAAACTAAGAAGAGTATCATTATTTCCATATCTGTAGGCATTCTTAAGACTATTTGAGTAAATCGTAGAAAGGACTATTGAATATACTCGATTCGGAGGGATATAAACGAACTAATAGTCGATACTGGCAGTAATTGGCACTTTAAGCTACAGATTTATGATCATACTTTGTGGTGATAATGACCGGACACCAGGATGTAGGATTAAGATTAAATGTCTCACAGTTAATAATTATACTGTCTACATACGGTGGATGCATTTCGACGGACTACGACCCAAAAAAACATTCTTGACACTACAATTCGCAAGGTTTTTTATTTCGTCGAGGAGTAATATCGCTTTTTCTTGCCCGTTCAATATAGCCACGATATTTCAATATACATAGTAGAGCACGTTATAGCCCACATCAAAACAATGGCTGAATAAATCGACGGGGTATAACAAAAAGAATACCTTATGAATGGACACGGGTTTTAGAATATATTTCAAACGTTCTAAAGCGATTCTTTTATACAATAGATGGATTACGTGCGGAATAATTTTCTATACATTACAAGATTGTTATTTTAGGTTGATATGGTATATATAATGTTTTTTTATAGAGCAGAGAGCAGGATTTTTTAATATTTTTAGAGAAAATGAGCTAAGTCAAGCTTGCGGCGAGTGTATAATGCATCATCCAACGGATATCTGGAAGCAATTTTAAACAAATCACACATGTTTGGGGTGTGTATACCCCTGAGGGCTAAAATCAAATGCCTCTACTCGTTTTCCTACACTTCAATAAAAACAGAACCTTTTTCTACCACTTAGAATCCATCACACGATTTACCCATTGGTGTTTGAAAAGGCGTTTAAGAGCGACCATCTGGTAGTGTACTCTTCCCAAAATCGCCAGAACTACATATATTTTACACTCTACTATATTCTGAAACGAAGTGTAACAAACATTAAAAGTCCAGTGCCAGTGTGTCTGGTACGACAGTCGCCTATCCGCCAACCGAGAGCGGCAATAAGACAAATCCCTCCTTAGAGAATTATGGTCACTAATGGTCTGAATAAGCCAGAAATAAGTTAATGACAACGTAGGTACGTTGTGAATGTTAAAGTATTGGGGGGTTAAGTGTGTATTTAATTTCAGAGTCTATATCAAAGACGAAACCATACGAGTATTATGATGTACTATTTATCCAGAGTCCTTGCGCAGTGCGTTCCACCCTCTAATGTTATTTTATTATAGTTTAAAAATCGTCAGAGTGGTCGAAATAGTGCAGCAAAACTTAAGAAAAGTTTTCTTATGTTTACGTTCCGGTCTATGCTATGGTAAGCGCGATTAACTATGACATTTAGACGTTGAACATCTCAGTATCCCTCGTGACCATGGGTGCTGTAAAGTGCTCGAAACGTCGGGTAAGTTTTAAAAAGTTAAATATACGCGATAAAATCCGTAAAAACTAAGTTTAAGAGAAGGTGAAGCTACATTATCGTCCGAGCATTTAAAATTTCAATTAACAATTTCTTTGGTCGCCGATACGAACCAAGAGTTGCTCACTTACTGTGAAATTTACGAGCCCTTAGTTCCTGAGCTACGAGTACCACGGCTTCGGTTTAAATATGTATGAAAACTAAATCCATAATAACATTAAGCATAAGTTCACGGCTTATTCATGACAAGGAAACGTTGATTTATTTACTGTAGCCGGGAACTGGAATAATTCATATTAGAGCGTCATCCTACAAAACATAATCTTATGAATAACATACCCGGTTGTGAAGCTGGTATCACATAGATTAAGCAAATATAGATGTTTAGCATTGTGAAGAAGATGGAATACTCCAGCTAGAGGAGTAACTTAATGTTTCCAGAGAATAATGTTTTGCTTGCTACTTGATTGAGAGATCAAAACATAATAGGCTACTACAAGCAGCAATAAATACATTGTAAAACAGTTGCTGATAAACAAAGTACTTAGTCTCAATACGGTAAAGAACCTTTCTAGTGCTTTAGGCTGGTACTGGAGCCGTTATAAGATTAAATATGCAAGATTTTGAAAACACTGCACCTGTAGTTGTAATAAATATGAATAAGGAACTAGTATTCAAAAGTTGATATTGTACTAGATTTTTCCTTGCATATTGTTCTCAAATACTACTTTTGGCAGTAGGTATTGTGAGGAACAGTAATTTCAAAACATTTATTCGGAAAATATGAAATAAAATTAAACAAAAAAATAATGAAATTGACAAAGGCAACGGAAATTTGATAAAGGTAAGGAATAGAGCTTTTAAATGATGACACAAAAATTCGCTACTTTCCTTTTTACCCACCGACGCAAAAGAGAGGGGTGTTATAAGTTTGAGCTATGTGTATCCTGTCTGTTGTTGTTTTTGTGTGTTGTGTTTTTTTTTTTCATTTAAAAGCCGGTTTTTCTAGTGATAGTTGTTCTTAGACTCGGTTCAGCCGTTTGAAGATCGTTGTTTTGTATTAAATTTTCGATTTAAGTTATCACCTCCCATTTCAAACCGTCAAGTAGACCAAGAGAAGCTCCCTAAGAAGAAAATTCGAATTTTTATCTTCAAGTCTGCATTTGAGTATTTACATTTACAAGCATATAAAATTCTAATAGTCTCAATCTCAACCAAACATACTCAGTAAAAGTTTAACAAAAATAACACTAGGAACACTAACAAAAATATGCATCTACAGAAACATGGTACTTTACTTCTATTAAGACCAATAGCTAACAAGATTCTTTTTAAGATTTCTTATGTAAATGTAGTATTTTTACCTTCACTTTTCAATAATTAACAGCAACAATTAATAGACTGGAAGATTTTTTTTCTGAAATGCTCATGTAACGTGATTTCTATTCCGGTTTGTATTAAAGTACAATTTGCATAATGATTTCGATGATCGATCTTAGCGTAGAAGGTTTATTACCAACAGTCCATTTGGATAAATTATTCCGTTTAAAAAACATGGCAAAAGATCTCATACTTTATTCATTAGAAAGACCTTTAAACTTAGGCCTTTAAATGCTTAAATTTTTATGTAGGAAAACATGTTAAAAAGATGTCCAAATTTTAATTCCAAATTTTGATAATATATCATTGCATCGCATTTCATCAGTAAGGCAGAACTCAATATCGGTTTCTGAATGAAATACTCATCTAAAATCGTGTTGATTATATTTTAAGCGATCATCGAATATAAAGTTATCTTGATGCGCGTGTCCGATAGTCTTCTCCGATACAGAATGAGATAAGCCTAGTATTCAGACCGGTCTTGAACACTGAACAGGGCTATCGAATAGAACTATCGTTACTGCGATCTCGTACACCTGATAAACTACGATACTATACGATTTTGGAGTCAATAATTCGCTTTCAATTTTTTAGAGACTATTGTTTGTTTAGTATCAAGAAGAAGAATTATTAATTTTATTTAATGATTTCTTAAATTTACGTGAACACTACACATTGAATAAAACTTTATATACGGATTTTATCTCGTTCAATTAACTTATTTTTAATTCTCGACATTTCGTGCGCTTTACAGCACCCATGGTCACGGAGGGGACTGAGATGTTTTACGTACGTATGTTTATGTTTTAGCACCGACGCTCCGGGAAGTCAGCAGTCTGTGAACATGTTCAAGATCGTCCCCACCATTACATCAGATTTGATAAACCACAAATCCTCGCAAAAGAACATCGATTCCTAGCAAGGATGATACGCGAGGCTATTGAAATTAAAAAAACAACCTAATTTCAATAGAGAAGATGGTTGGGTGCTGCCATCTGCTTGGGACCCCATAATTAACAAAATTAAACCCAAACCCAAGCATACCACTGCAAAATTTCAAGATACTGTAAGCTCGTTCTGCTTAGATCGATAGAACTTAAAAATAAGTTAATTAAACGCGATAAAATCCGTATATATATTTATATTCAATATATTATGTTTATTATTAGACTACATATTTTAACTATAATACAACACGTCGTTGGTTTGCGAGAATATCGACGTAATTCAAAATTCTGTCAAATTGAATTCTGTATGCCAAACAATCTTAGTGATCCGTCGTTGTTCCTGATAAAAGTAAGTATCTTTTTTATGTCTCATTTCTATTTACGCCTGTATTCCTGAATAAAAATGGGTTATTGCTTATGATATTGTATTTTATACCGACTTTATGTAACTTGAGTCTATATTCACGAAAAATAAACGGATTTTATTTTGTCGTAAATAAGAAATGTCGTTATTTTTGAAAAAAAGTGGGCATGGTCTTGCTTCTTATTACGAAATGTGTGTTCAAGGAATTTTGGGATAGAAAATTTCTATTCCAAAATTCCTTGAATAATATAATAATAATAATATTCCACAACTATCATACAACGCCATCTAGTCCCAAGCTAAGCAGAGCTTGTGTTATGGGTACTAGACAACTGATAAACATACTTATATATTTCTAAATACATAAATATTATAGATAAATTACACCCAGACACAGAACAAATGATCGTGCTCATCACACAAACATTTTTGTCCTGGGTGGGAATCCGTATCGTCATCATCATCTTCTGGCTCATCTTCTTTAACTTCTAGCTCATCTTCCTCGTCTTCTAGCTCATCTTCCTCCAGCAATAGGGAAACAGAAGAATGTAATAAATAATCCAATAAAATCATAAATTTAAAAGAAAAAGGACTCCATGGCCATAGCTTAGAAAATAAAACCAAAGAAAATAAGGTAAGTATAGAGTCAGTAAATGATAATATGAAAGATGAGACTGCAGTAGAAAGTAATTCACAAATAGAAAGTGAACCAAAAGCTATTGAATTGACCAATATGAATGCTGAAAGTGAAGAAGGAAAGGAAGAAAGAGATTTTTCATCGGATGATAGTATCGCAGATCCTAATTATCACATTGAAGATAATGATTTATCGTCAGATTCGGATGAAACGGTAGAAGAGAATGAAGAAGAAAATATTTCACGTAAATCAAACCAAAATATTACACGTAAGAGGAAAATGCAGCCAGAACTTTGGAAATCGAATGTAGCAAAACGTCTACGAAATGCAGGGAAAGAATATGTAGGCAAAAATAATAAAGTTATACGAGAGAGACGATTAGAACCAGGATGTACAGAAAAATGCAAGTTAAAGTGTAACACAAAGTTAGATGATGAGACTCGACGCCATATTTTTGACGCATATTATAAATTACCTGATTTGCAAAGTAAAAGAACTTTTGTAGCATTCAATATGTCCTCTATTGTCCCGTCGTATCAATATAAAAAAGGAACACGTCGAAATAATAACGCATTTTATTTTAAAGACAAAGATGGCGTAAAAATTCGAGTTTGTGAGAGTTTTTTTATGTCTACGCTAAATGTATCTGATAGATTTATTCGAACAGTTACCGAAAAATCAAGAAGTGACGTTTCAGGCATTATAGTGGAGGATCTTCGAGGGAAACATGGCAATCACAGTCGCGTAGATGATAATATTAAAGATAGTTTGAGAAATTTCATTAAGGCGATACCAAAAATAGAAAGCCATTACTGTCGAGCAGATACGCAGAAAGAATATATTGATGGAAGTAAGACTATTGCAGAAATTTATAGAGATTATGTGAAACACTGTGAAGAAAAAAGAGAGAAAAGTGCTAACTATATCATGTTTAATAGAATATTCAATGGAGAATTTAATATAGCATTTTACCAACATAAGAAGGATCAGTGTGAGGATTGTGTTGCCTACAATAAAGCAAATGGAGAAGATAAAAATCGACTGAAGTCTAAATATGAGAACCATTTAAAAGAAAAAGAGCTTTCAAGAATGGAGAAGGTTAAGGACAAGAAAGAAGAAGAAGATAAAGAATCAACTATTGTAGCACTTTATGACTTACAAGCTGTGATGCCATGTCCTAGGGTAGATGTATCTAATTTTTACTATGTTTCAAAAGTGAATACCTTAAACATTACGATCTATGAGATGAAAAATAAAAATGCGTTCTGCTACGTATGGCATGAAGGAGAAGCAAATAGAGGAGCTATAGAAATAGGGACCAGTGTTTTATAATATTTAAAAAATCTTGGCAGAGATCTAACAACTGAAGCCAAACTAGATATAATTTTTTATTCTGACAACTGCTGCGGACAGCAAAAGAATAAATTTATTATAGTATGTACATGTGCGCTGTTTCTACTGTGCTCATATTAATAGTATCACGCATAAATTTTTGATAAAAAGGGCACACACAAAATGAAGGTGACAGTGTGCATTCTTTCATTGAAAGAAATATCAAAAAGACTTTGAAATCGGGCCCTATCTATACGTCGGATCAGTACATTTCAATTATTCGCACTGCAAAAAAAGAAAGGACCTCCTTACAAAGTCGTAGAAATGGATCATAGAAGTTTTTATGAATTAAAGTCGCTAGCTTCTGACGTGGGTAGAAATTTTAATAAAAATACTGATAATGAGAGTGTGAAAATGGCAGATATAAAGATTTTAAAAGTAGATGCTGACCACAAAGGGTTCTTTTTCTATAAAACATCTTACGGTGAAAATGAATTTAAATGTGTGAAAGTTACTAGCCGTGCATCAAAATCTTTGGACGAAAATTACAGATTGCAATCTGCTTATAAAAAAAGGAACGGAATCTCAGAAAATAAGAAGAGAGGACTAGTAGATTTAGTTAACAAAAATATAATTCCAAACTATTATCGACAATTTTATTTGGGGTTGTAAATTAAATGATATAATTTACTTACCTTTGAAGAATTAATGTTCCTGTTTTATATTTTATTTCATTGCTGATTTTGAAGAATTTTCATTTATTTTAATGCCTATATTTAAAGTTACTATTGTATGTTATAAAACTATTTTTAGTTGTTATACTTATAAGTACAAAAGTTTTAAACACTGTTGTAAGTTTTAATTTGTATTTTTTAAGAGGCCTTAAAGCTAAATAAATGACATAAGTTGATTTTTATAATTTGGAGTCTCATGAATAAAGACTCATGTCAGAAAACCGCCTTTTTATGACGATTTTTTAAATAATTTTAATAAAAGTTCTAAAATGTTTTTATGTTTTTTGATACTACGATAAAATTTTCTTTAATCAGTAAAGTCAATCCCTCGATAAATCATTTACATTTTGCGGTATGCACTAAAATATTTACAAAGAAATTAAAAAATGCCATTCTCTAAAATCAATCATTTTTAGTTCCGTCGCTATTCTCGCAAACCAGCGATGTGTTTCGCCTACAAATATATCATTAGAATTCTACCGTATGTGATTTTGTTTGTTACGCGATATCTTCATTAATCGTCAACGGATTTTTAGGATTCTTTTTTATTAAATAGGCAATACTTTAGGGACTTTTTGACTAAATATGGAATAAAAATTTCACCCCTAAGGGTGGCAAAAAAGGTAATATTTTTATAAAAGTAATTTAGACGATATTTGAGCTTGTACATTACTATATACATATTCAGTCCACTAAAGTGGGTCCAAAATAAATTAAACTTTTAATAAAAACTTTGACTAAATAGTAGGGAAAATATAATAGATCACAATTATAAATGATTTGGGAATCATTTAATTATAATCTAATATCCATGTTCCTTACAGCTGCCGCTTGGTTATATGCATTATTTTTATTGTATTAGTTATATATGTGTACTCGTATTATCTTTAGATATTATTTTTTGTGACATATAAGCTATTGTAACTTTGCTTTCTTATTTTTTATAGTATTTTGTAATACTGTATCACCTACCCTAGATTAAGCCTATTTTCAATAAAAATGTGTTCCCATGTCCCACGAACAAATAAATAAAGAAAAAGTAAAAGCCAACTTTAAATTAATGAAAATTAATTACTATTGAATAAAACTAAATTTACGAATTCTATCGCGTTTATTAACTGATTTTACTTATTTTTAATTCCCGACGTTTTGGGTGCTTTACAGCACCCATGGTCACAGTGGGGGTGGGGGACTGAGATGTTTAACGTCCCAATATCATAGTTAGCCCGGCTACGTCCAGTTTTTGAATAATAATTTTTGGTCCGATCTACGCAAAACGAACTTACAGTATCTTGAAGTCTTGCAGTGGTATGCTCGGGTTTGGGTTTAATTTTGTTAATTATAGGATCCCAAGCCCAAGCAGATGGCAGCACCCAACCATCTTCTCTATTGAAATTAGGATGTTTTTTAATTTCAATAGCCTCGCGTATCATCCTTGGTAGGAATCGGTGTTCTTTTGCGAGGATTTGTGGTTTATCAAATCTGATGTAATGGTGGGGACGATCTTGAACATGTTCACAGACTGCAGACTTCCCGGAGCGTCGTTGCTTCACGTCAGTTATATGTTCTTTCACGCGGGTTTTTATAGATCTTTTTGTTTGACCTATCTAAGAGAGACCACATTCACAATCTAACTTGTACACTCCTGCATCTTGTAGAGCGATATTACACTTGACGGATGGTAAAAATTGACTAATCTTCTTCAGCGGCTTGTAGTATGTTTAATAGAAGCTCGCTTCAAGATGTAGCCAACCTTGTCTGTGACTCCTCTGACATATGGTAGTACAGCAGGCACACGCTCGACTGTGGCCGGCTTCACTCGGTCGGTATTAATTCATTACTATATTTTGGTATACTTATTATCAACTAATCATTTATCCCACTACTACTACCTGTTATAACATTCCGCTAAATTCAGATTACAATAGATAAATTTCGCATTAACAGGTTTTGGTTAGTTTTATTGTTATTAGTTGTTTGTTAGTTTTATTTGGATTATAGGTTAGGGAAAAGAACAAAACACTGCTTCAGGCGATGCCCCTTCTATCTCAATAACAAGCTATTTATTTCACAGTGTACACACTTACGCACTTAAAACGCTGATATCGAAAGTACAAGGTTTTGTACAATTCCTAACTCCTTAGCAACAGTATACGCATAACGCGTACTACGTAATATACACTACACGCATACACATAATATATACGATATATACGATAGAGAACCGAAAACCTTTATTACCTACTCGAAATGAGGTATTCCATATTAGTCCTCAGGGGTGACAACGCATTTGCATATTGATTATTAATTGAAAATAGATGTGGATGTCTATGGGCCACAACATCCACTTACCATCAGGTGAACTATGTGCTAGTTTGTCACCCTTATTCTATAAAAAAATTGGTATTGGGAAAACAAATATTGCAAAGAAACTAACATCGGTTCTAGCAAGTTAGTTTTGTTTTTGTGTTTCTCTGTTTTGTTTAAAAAGGTGGTTATATCGCCATCCATCGAAAGCCGCTTGACGTACATACGTATTTTCTCTGACGACACTCGAAGGAAGTGATGACAAGGCGAAATACTAAATATTGTTAAAGACGACGTAAGCTGTATAAAAAGTTCTAGAACGTTCTATGTGGTAATGCTGCGATTACCACAAAACTCCCTCACTACAAGGGAATCTCGTGTCTAGTAGTGGACTGCTAGTGCTCTAATGAAATTTCTTTAGTGCTATAGTGGGGTGACATCTGGGACACTAATATTGCGTTAGTAAGCGGTCAAATAGATTAGAACCCATTCTATTCGACAAATACAAATACAATACAAATGAAAATCTTACAAAAATATTTTTAATTTAATTTTACCGTTATACCGTTTCTCACAGTCTCCCAAAAGCCAACTGTTGAACATAGGCCTCCCCTAAGGTTACCCCATGGGGGGAGGGGATGCCACGTTTGGTAGGCGGGATGGCAGCCGCAGTTTTTGTTTTAGTTGAACAATCTCCTGTCACCTCTTACGACACTCACGAGACGTGGATATTATTAACCCACCACACGATATGTGCCATACATATTTTGTTACGGCGCATGTACCGTACATATTTTGTTATTACGATTAAATTATTTACATTAAGCTGTATTAAATATTTATGATACAAGTATCTAAAGCGGAAAGAGCTTTATCGTTTTAAAGTAACTAAGTTATCTTTATTAGTAATGCGGTCCGCAGGCGCTTTAATCGGCTTACTGAGTATTGGAACGCGTTAAGAAATGTTTTGCATTTCCATCTTTTTCCTACACATTGCCAACTTTATAAGTGTGAGAGAGACGAAACTACCGTAAGTATATCGTGTAATAGACGATAATATCGTTACAAGAATTTGTGCCCTGCGTAAAACAGAACTAATGCCGGTAACTTATCGCTTATACGTTATAATTCAATGCTTGTGTTATTCCTTCAGAAGTAATAGTGTTATAATGATTTTATATATTTCAGATTTCAAATACCACAATCATATGACCCCCGATGAATAACACCGTTTCCTCACGGGCTATTGAAATCAAAAGACGTCATAATTTCATTAGAGAAGAAAAATAATCCGAATTTCAAACGAGGAGATAGCTGAGTGCTACCAACTGCTTTGGATCCCATAATTAATAAAATAAAATACAAACACAAGCATACCATTTGAAGTCTCTAAGACACTGTAAATTCGATCGGCGTAGATCGGACCGAATAAAATTAACATTTAAGAGTAGGCCTTAGAAGGTATCCTCCGTTAACTATGATATCAGGACGTCAAACACCTCAGTAGCCCCGTGACTATAGGTGCTGTAAAGTTCTCGAAACATCGTGAATTAATAAAGTTAGTTGTAAATGCGATAAGATCCGAAAAATTTGCGATGTTATACTACTCAATACTAGCCTTGATTTTGCAGGTTTCTGAAAGAAGGATAATGAGATCACAAATATACGTCACTTATAAACCATTTCGTTATCAAAACTTTTCTTTCATAGGCTTTACGCTGTATCTTAAAACAACCAGCTCGAAGTCGAAGCCTAACACAACACATGGATGATTCTAAGCATAGAATACTATAAATACACAATAGAATGGCTGTCAAATTTATTTTGTACGAGGAAGGACGTCGCCAAACCCGATTCGGTGTGTTGACAGACTGAATAAATTTACACATTCTGGACTTTTGATTAATGTTTAATATCATCATTAAAAAAATCGTTTAAATTTTAATACATATTTATTTGTAAATAGGGTGCGACTTGGTATTTTCTAAAAAATTTGCATGCGAAATTTGGAAACGATTGTAACGTCAAAACACATCTCGTGTTGACATTTATACGTCTGAATTGACGTGTTATTGACATTTCAGTGGCTACGCGGGCTCCGCCCACTCCCCCGTTCTATTAGGTATGTATTATAGTGTTCTATGATTCTAAGAGAATACTCCATGTGTAACAAAAACGCCTTTAAAATACCTCTAGATATAATTTCTAGTACGGAAGTAATGTTTTATCGATTAGATGTGTAAGAATTAAACTTTTCAAAATGTATAAATCTGTTTCAAAGAGATATCGAAGAAAGTCGAGAAAGTCGGTTTTGTGTTTTCAACATATTATCTCATAAATGAAAGTGAACAATGTGGTAAAATTTTATATTTTTTCAAGTCATAGGGGACAACTTTTGGAGTCGTGGTTGTTATGTGATAGCTAGCAGAGAAGTGGCCCGAAGAAATATTGTCGATTCTAACAGATTTGAAAACATAGAAGAAACCAAGCTATTCAAGAAATTCAGGTGCCAAACTCCCCACCTCTCCCCCTTAATAATGTATCACCACCTCAAGTAACAACAATAATGTCGTCTTAATAGTTAGGTTAAAAATTTTATCTCCCATTTTCTACACTTAGTGGTGGAAATGTTTCTTCAAATTTTAACAAAATACAGTTGAATTGAAAACTTTTTCTTCTTTTTTGAAGACGGCTGAAAAAAATTTTGTTTATGGGGATCTAACTATATCTATTATTTAATCATTTTAAACTTTACTTTTTAATACTAATTTTTAAATTTAATAATATTACATTAACGCGATATTATGTTATGAACTAAAATTGTCGAACAACACGCAAAATATGCATAACGGTTAGTTGGCAAACTTATTACATTGCTTGAAAGGTTTCATATAAAGTACAGTTTAAAAATCGTTAGGATTGCGTAATTTGAAACTAAAAGACGTGATTACATATTCCACAATATTCTCCGATTATAAGAGTTGGTGCATCCAACAATCTAACCATCGCGTGCAAATTCACCCACTCCTCCACTGCCTGCGGTGAAAACATGGGTGAAACTACGCGCGCGTGACCTTTGACACTAAATTTAAGATGGCTACGCTGCTGTCAAACTGAACCCGCTTACTTTCCATATCTGAAAATCATTTGGGTATACTCGTAATGTCCTGTTCACTAATGTTTCGGACCAACTATTGTGTTGGTTTGATTTTGATGCATTCGAAAGCTGCTTTATGAGAAATTAGCCACCTTTGTTATTCGATATTAAATATACTTTGAGCAGGTTGACCACATGGCTATATGGTCAGTACATAGTACATACTTACTAAGATGTGGGCTTTACGTTAAAATTAACGCCAAAAGTAATACTTAAAAGACTTGGATAGAATGTTACTATCACCTTGTCCGTAAATCTGTTTAATTTTAGTAGATACTTCTATATGCTCAACCACATCGCATTTATTTAAAAAAATACAGAAAAAAAACATAAGTACAGCTCCAAGTAGCATAAAGATTTACCCATTCCTAAACCGGCTAAAATAAAGTGAAATTTTCAACTGTTGTGTGGAGACGTTTCAAGAGAATCTATCTCTATCAAGCTAAAGATATTAAGAAGATTGTGAAGCTGCAAATTTTCATACAAAAAGCGGTAACGTTTTACCTCCTGTAAACATATTCTAATTTTCATAGTTTTTGCAAATGTTGTAGATATAATTAAAAACTAGGTATCCGTACATTTTTATTTTAAGGAAATATTGCGTACGATATAAGTTATTAGCATCTAAATATCTGTATTTTTGACTAAACTTCCTTTAGCGTTATTTTTTTGAATTAAACTAAATATAGTTACTAAAAAAGAAAAACGTACAGACCTAAATTAAGGTATACTGAATTACAAAATTGTCTCATTTTGTAAAGGTTTTGGGGGTTGAGAACGTTATCGCTCTAAACGATATTTAAAAAAAATGTGGGTAATCAGTAATTACTCGTACTTCCAACATTTGCAACTCTCTCAATCGCGCGACGGCGATACGGACCGAGCGATGTGAAAAAGATAACATTTTTGAAAATACCTACTCGCGCCGCGTATCGGCATTTCACAGTCCTCACATTAATGTTAAGACCACAGGTAAAAATATGGCTAAGTATTGTTATTAATCTTACTGAAATCGTTTCATAGAGAAAAATGTCGGCGTTACACAATGCAAAGCGCATTGGTTCCACACCATAGCTATCTCGCCGTGTTGGGTGCTAAACACAACCAATGTGGCTTCGCCGTGCTGCTTTAATTTCGTTACGGCACAACAACGGTGAATTTAGCGCTGGGTTTATACTTAACCTAGGAGCAAAAACAAAATTTACGTTACCATCCACATCATATGGATGCTCCGGCGGTCCACTACTGTGCGATTAACCAAGAGTTTTCTTCCTCGCACGACTACTTTGTGAATTCGTATACCGACTGATACAACTTACGGGCCTTCAAGAAACGTACTTACTCCTTTTTAAAAGGCCGGCAACGCACCTGAAATTCTACGGTTGTTTTTGTAGGATAGGGTGACAAACGAGCACACAGTCCACCTGATGGTAAGTGGTTGCTGCGGCCCATAGACATCTACATCTATCCTCGATTACAAATCAAAATGCAGGTGCGTTGTCACCCGTGAAGACTAAGATGGACAGCCTTGTTTCCAATAAAAAAGGTCTCCGGTTCTCTACACTCACCATACGAAACAAAGCAGCATTAAGCTACTATTTTACGCTGGTATTCTGTGAGAGCGTGGTCCTTCCCCGGTCGAGCCGACCCATTCGTGCTACAACTATACCACTAATATAACTGCAGCATGGCTCTACCACGTTGTAGTTCATTATGTGCGGCGGTCGACACTTTTCATCAGGGAAGCCGCATATTCGTTTGTCCCTTCTGCTATAAACAAAAAAAACGCTATAGTAGATTTAGCGCTAAAGGCTACACTACTAATGTCAAAAAAAAAAAACTAATGTCAAAAGAATAGATTGTGACAATCTTTGCCGTCATTATATTCTGGGCATATTTCATAGGCAACATTAACCATGTAGTGGCGGTGTAAGAATATCGACCACCACATATCATTCCTTAGGTGTCGTAAGGGACGACGGAGGGCAACTGAAATAAGAATGTTCAGCAGCATTTTCCTGATAACAACTTGAAATTATAAAAAAATGCAATTGGCAACACGCCTGCCAAACGCAGCAATTATGGCCAAACCCCTCCCGGGAGGTAATCTATAGGGAGGCCTATGTTTAGCAGTGGACTTTTATAGACTGTAATGGATGGACGCAACAAAGTTTACGTCTACACCTATTATTTAAGGTAATAAACGTTAAGTTGCGAAGCAAATCGTACGTTGCAGTGTAAGCACCACGTACTTCTACGGGCTTGCAAATTAACATATTCTAGTTATTTGAAAACACATTGAATGTTTGAATATTACATAATTTTTGTATTGCGTAGGAAACATTGATTTTTGGTTGAGTTTAAGATATATAGTTTTTTATTGTCTTTTTATGAGTACAAAGTGAAATAAAGGTGACAAAGCACACAGTCCAATTAATCCAGTTTCGTATTTTTTTTTGTATTCATGAGTAAGTAAAAATATTTTATGTTATCAGACATCATAATGTGGAACCATGTTAAATAGTACTACAAGTTTAACGCTGTTAAAATAACAGATATAATGCAAATAAAATAATAGTTATAAAATTAAATAGCAAATTACAAATTACGTTAATAATGAATCACATTATACATGTATGTATGTATACATCAACATTCACGCCTGTCACCCAGAGGGGTAGGCAGAGACCACAGACTTCCATTTGGCACGATCCTGACAGACCTCTCTCGCCTTCTTCACATCCATATACCTAAGCATACATGCTCGTCGGTTAAGGGTACTCCTAATTTGGCCCGTTTTCAATAAATCGCTAATTTGGTCGATAAATTTTCGCCTAGGACGCCGACTCTGCCATTCAATTCCGCAATATAAATTTTCTTTGTCACTCTTTCCTCACTAAATCTTTCCACATGACCAAACCATTGAAGCACTCCTTTCTTAATCCTGGTCACAACATCATCTTGCAAACCACACTCTTCTCTTATCACACAATTTCTCACCCTGTCATTCAGATTCATTATATATAGGTATTTTATAATATTTTATTTTATATTTACATTCCATATTTATTTACAAAAAACAATATGGATTCAACTATTGAATATAATTATATATTATAATGTAGTAATTCTTGAAATACCTACAGTAGTTAATTATTTTGAGGCCTTATCCTCAAAGAGGTTTCGCCGAGTAAGGTATATTACTTATATATACCATTCAGATGGCGCGATAGGCTTCACTCCGAATTCACTCCTAGCATTTAACAGTGTGAATATAAAATTGGAAAGAAATCTAACAACGCTAACTATCGGAGTCTGTATTTTGGTGGTTGATTTTTAGCACTAAACTAAAACAGATAGTGGATGGATATGTGTGGAGAATTCGTTGATATAATGACTACAGTGTCAGTGCTGGATCGTAGCATAGCTATGAACATTCGTTTTAATAAATATATTTGTGTGAACACGACCAAAATCTGTCAAATCGTTTTTATTTTAGAAGCTAAGCGATACAGACAGATACAGATACAGACGATATAACGATTTTATAAATAAAAATTGCACTGAGCGAGGTAACTATCGAAAATCCCCCTAATAGAGGCAATCCCTGGATCCTGCGTTCAGCAGCGGACTTTTATAGTAAAGTTTAGTAAAAGTAAAGTTTCAGCCTATGTACGCTCCACTGCTGGGCACAGGCCTCCCCTCATTTCTGAGAGGGTTTTAGGGCAAGGAAGTGTCCGCCGCGCTGCCCCAATGCGTGTTGGCGAACTTCACATGTCTTCGAAATATTTTTTTTTCCCTTATTCCTTAGACATGCAGGTTTCCTCACGATGTTCTCCTTAACCGCCTAGCACGTGGTAAATCAGCACTTAAAATTGCAATTAACAATTTCATTGGTGCCGACGGCGATCGAACCCGGGTTACTCGCGTCTATAATATTTGCAGCGAGCGTTAACTATCTGAGCTACCACGGACTTTTATAGACTCTAATGTAATTCACAAACTAATTGCTTCCGTTAACTACTCCAGGCAAGCTTAAATGCCTGTGTAAGGAGTGGTTTACGGCAGAGGTCGAATGGCGGATTTGAATCCACAGAGTTTGCAATCCGCATACATCATAGAACGTTTAATAAAGCTCATATATGTTTACAAGACACTTGAAAGGAATATTGTAAATTGCAAACACTTTCTTGGATCGTACTTCGTCTTGTCTCATGTACCTTGGGAAGTGGGACTTACTTTCTCCGTGTTAATAACAGCCTACTCGCGTACAACGTATAGCCTCTGGCGCGTCTTTTAATAAACATTTTTTTTAATCGTAACCTATCGATGTCGACAGTGTGATTACACTCATTTAACTGTTAAAAATAATATGAATTCGTACTTTCTTTATAGTTACGTAGCTTTGTTTTTTTTAACTTCCCGCTAAGAAAATTAAAAAATTTCAAAAATAGGGAAGTTATTGGTTTCACCCCGATTTTCGCAAATCGAGTTTTCATAACTTTTGAACGTCTTGATCGATTGAGATGCGTTTTGCGGCGTTCTAAAGATCTCATCCAATCACAATTTGGTGATAATATGAACTGATTCGGACGAGTAGATTTTCAGAAATCTCAAAAATAAAAATTATGAAAAACTGTTGTTTGGAATAACTTTTAAACGGCTTTAGTGATCGATTTCATCATCAATTTCGATTCGATCATCAGCTCTTAACCTCAAAAAATGACGTCGCATGCCGTTTGGAAAATAAAAAACGGTTCATTCGTTCGTGAGATATCGAAGGAGAAAGAATTTGAAAAAAACGTGTTTTTAACATAACTTCGAAATTTCGCAACATAATTTGGTGAAATTTAGAGCGCTTTGCATTTGAAATTAGCGGGAAGTTCCAGAGATGGCCTGCAGGGTCAACCAATTTTTTGATAGATTTCTAACGTCAGTAGTTACAACGCACTTTGAACAGTATACATCTCGTCACTTATTCTTTAAAACCTGAACACAAAAGTGTACAACCGAAGTGTGCTATCATTGATGACATCAAATTCAAAAAATTAATTATAATATAATAAAAATAATTAATTTTCGATATTTTTCACATAAACAATACGAATAAATTTAATAATCTAAGAATTGTAATATTGAGTGCAAAAGATAGTGCTAATTTTGATCTTTTTTCTTCAACGTACTAAATTTGATTACTCGTAGTCATACGCAAAATATGAATACGAAAGTAAAAATATTAATTAAGATCCAATTAGTCGCAAACATCCTTTAAATGCTTAAGCACATTTAACTTGAGCTAAGTCGACAATACTAATCCAATAAAACGCTCATACGATACAATGTTTTCATAGATATACATAAATATATAAGACTGTGCACAGTAATTAAATTTACTTACTTTAAAAACACCGGAGAAGAACAAAGATTAAAATAAAAATGTTACTATATCTGGCACAAATTTCCACGCCCTAAATAAGCCCGGTGTGTGTGACACTGAGTTGCAGAGGAAACCCGAGTTCACGGGCAGTGACCCGGCAAGCGTCAGACAGCGTGACAAACTCCTCGTGCAAGTGCAGCCTGACCCCACTGCAAGTAGCACACCATACGAGTTAGCATCAATCGATGTTATTAACTTTCCACGTGTGTACTATCAAATCAAATACCTAACATATACATACTTTTAAATAATAAGCGTGACAAACGAGCACACAGTCTAACTGATGAAAGTGGATGCTATGACCCATATATATTTATTTTTATTTTTTAGGATAGGGTGATAAACGAGCACACAGTCCACCTGATGGTAAGTGGTTGCTGCGGCCCATAGACATCTACATCTATCCTCGTCAAAATGCAGACGCGTTGTCACCCGTAAGGGCTAAGATGGAGTGCCTAATTTCCAGTAAAAAGGGTATCGGGTTCTCTACACTCACCATACGCAATACAGCAGTATTAAGCTACTATTTGACACTGGTATTCTGTGAGAGCGTGGTTCTTCTCCGGTCGAGCCGACCCATTCGTACTACAACTATGCTACTAATATAACAGCATGGCTCTACCACGTAAACATTTACATCCATCCTCGATTAAGAATAAAAATGTATAATGCGTTGTCACCCCTGAGGACTAAGC